AAGTGATTGTGGCCCCCCAGGTCGTTTGGAGGAAGGCTGGCGGGCGAGGGCGGGCTTGTGCGGCCCCGGGCTGGCTGCCGAGGGCCGGCCCGCGGGAAGAAGTCGCCGCGTCCACCGGCCCGGAGACGCGAGCCCTTGGGAGAGGTGTGCTGTGAACTCTGCGCCCTCATCTGTCAATACCTGGTTTATGGGCCGGCTGCTCGGGGCCGCGCGTCCTGGGCCCTGTGTGGTTAGAAGGGCGCGCGTGGCCTTTGCGAGGCCCCTGGTCGCCTCCGGAGACCCGGCGTCGCCGCAGTGGAAGGCCAGCGTGGGCCGGGGGTGGGTTGGGGAGCCGGGATGCCGAGGTGCTGGAACCAAGGGTGAACTTGAGTGTCGTCGCATCAGTTGAGTTCGCGAACCGTGAGACGGTCACCCAGCCCTGCCCAGGAGGGCCAGGAATGGCTTTCCAGGTGAGGGGACTCGTGAACAGGCGTTTTTGGCAGACGACTAGAGTTACTCCGGCAGACTGGGCATGGAGGGGAGGGGTGATCGAGGCAGGGGCCACAGGTGTGGTGATACGAAAGGTGATACAAAAAATGATAGCGCAGGGCTGGATCTCGCAAGGTCTGCAGGAGAACACTGGGTGAGCTGGAGGTGGCCGGGAGGTGTCACCCAAGAAGGGTCTTGAGAGTGGAATTTAGAAAGATGAATCAGTTGACAGGGCTGTTGCCTCAAAGCAGAAATCCTGATCAGTGTTGCACTTTCCTACTTGGGTACCTTTGGGCCCACCACCAAGTCTCTCTGAGCCTTAGTTTTCTAACCTGTAAAATGAAGGTAAGAGGCAAGTGGTGAGGATTACCAGTGTCCCCATCATTTCCATGATTCAGTGATTCTGACATCTGGGAGGAGCCCTGGCTCCTCCCCCCAAAAAAGTGAATGCACATGGGCTGGGCACAGCTCTGCTGTACACAAGGGGACGCCCAGTGAGAAGTGTACCAGTTCTGCTTGGCACCGCAGGAATTCAGCAAATGTTTATTGACAGGTGAGCCCCTTCCCTTCCCTCTTGGGGATCTTTTTCACAAAGAGATTGTTCAGCCTCTCAGTCTGCAGACAAGTGCCTGCCTCCTAACGTGGGGTTGGCTGGGCACTGAGACAGCTGCTGTAGTCAGAGGCTCTGTCTCCCTTTGCAGAAGTGAGACTGGGGAGGTCACAGCAGGAACACCTGGCCTACATAGACTGCCTGGTCTGCCTGCATTAATCAGGTGAGGAAACTGAGGCCCAGGCTGAAGCAGACAGGAGGAACTCTGATCCTGGTGGGGTGGTTAGGAAACACGGGACTTCGTACCACCTTATGTGGCCTGAGGGACCTTCTCTGAGCCCCAGCTTTTCTGTACACGAGGATCACATCTCAGTGGGCAGGTGTGAGCATTCTCAGAGAGGCTGGGGCACCTGGTGCCTGTTAGTGAAAGTTAACTATGTGACTTTGAATTATGTGTGGCTGAGCCTCACTCTCCCAGACTGTCGGCTCCTTGAGGTGGGAGCTGTGTTTACCTGTTAGAGGGTGAGGGGTGGGAAGTATAGCCTGGGCTTTCACTGTGTGGTTGAAAAGACGCACCCAGAACAGCTATAGAGGACTGGTTTGTGCACTAGAAGACATGCAGGGGCATAGTGGGTGCCGGGCTCCACCTTTTCAAAGGTGCCCTCATCCATCCTCTGCGCTGTCTCCAGGATTGCTCATGGCAGTGAGTTGTAATGCCCAGAATCTTCCATTTGAGAGATTCTAGGGCTCAGAGAGAACTCGGGTCTCTAAAGCCAGAACTTTATCTCCCACTGCCCTGCGCTGGAGGTGCTGGAGGTATCATCCTTCCAGGGAGCTTTCAGTGGCTCTGCCGCCCATCCCCGCAGGCCCTGTTTCCTCATTCTCCCCTCTCTGGTCTCACCATTTTTGCCCTCAGCTGGCTTCTGCCCTCTGCCTTTTGTGTTTAGCCAAGCCCCTGGAGGTCTGTGCTGCCCTGACTCCTGCCTGAGTCATGGCCTGCTGTAGGCAGCCTGGCCTTTTTCCTTTTTTAATCAATCAGATAATACCGGATTCTTTTCCTGACTCTGCTTTACTGACTGTGTGAACTTGGTCAAGTAAATTGACTTCTGTCCCTCAGTTCCCTCAGCTGTGAAATAGGAGTGATAGTGCCACCTTCAGCTTGTTAGAAGAAAAAGTCACATGGAGTGACCAGTGTCTCAAAGAGGCTCATGTTTTACAAAGTAGATTGGTGTGTGGCATTGACATGTATAGTCATTACCATCCAAAACTCTGTCCTAGTTCTTCTGAAAGAGAAACGTTCATTTAGGAGGGGGTGAGAAATCAGAGAACTTGGATGAGCGGGGTGGCTGAGGAGTTTGGATAGGGGCTGGAAAGGTACAGAAATGCAAAGTGGTATAGAGATACAAAGTGTAGAAGAAGACAAGGCAGGATGTGGTAGATGAAGGGTGAGGCTAAAAGTTAGACTTTAGAGACCTTCAGTGCCAGGCTAAGAAATTGAGCTTTATCTTCCAGGCTAAGGCAACCACTGAGGAGTCTGATCGAGCAAGAAAGCAGCTTATTTCAGGTTTGAGATTCATGAATAACTTGTGGAATAAACTGGGGCTGGGGAGCAGGAAGCCCAGAGATGAGGTGCTGTCCTTGTGAGGAGGAAGTAGGTAAAGGTACCAGCTCTGGTGTCTGACCACTTGTCTTGATCTCTTCTTCCGGTTCTGGGTAAGATAGATCAACTTGCTAGGTTTTTCTTACCTGTATGGTGGGGTCAGGGTGACTAGCTTGCACTGAGAAACTCCCAAGATGTCATCCAAAATACAGGTGGTTGAGGCACTGGTCCCAGTCCATGATAACACACTTCCATTGTTGCTAATGCCCCTGATACCAGCCACTTCATACTTATATTTCTGTGCCCACTCCAGACCTTTCCCAGAGTCAACCTGCATCACCCCTCAAGTGCCTACATAAATGCTTTTCATTTAACATGTGAATACTTTTCCATGGTTCCCTCCACAGCTACAGCAAACTACTGCAGGTCATTCTCATGGTCTGCAGGGACATTTGTTGTTGGCAAGACAGGGCCCTGAACACAGTGAAATGACTGCTATCCTGCTCAGGGGTGCAAGCTGCCTACCGAGGTCACCTGGGAAACGAGGGGCACACATTATATCGCACACCCTTAGCCCATCCAGCTCTTCCCCTGAAACGTCCATCCTCTGATGAGGCCCAAGCACTTCAGACTTAATGAAAACACCTGGTAAAATGGAGCGCAAGGCCTGTCCTGTCTGTTCCACCAAGCTCTCCCTCTCCCTGAAGGGAACTCTTTCACTCACCTAATCCTGGCACGGCCTGGGAGCCCTCATGTTTGGCCAAGCCTCCCAGGAATCAAAGCCTTGGATTCTTTAGGATGCAGATGTCATTCGGAGTCCTCGCCCTTCCTCCCTCCCCACATCTACTCCACTGGCAAATTAAGTTGTCTGTTTTGTCTACTTTTCTCTGTAACCTCACACCAAGGCAAGTCAGTATCATCTCATTTGGATGGCTGCCATTAGCGTCCTTCTCATCCACTCCATTCCCTTTCAGTAGGCAGACTAAGCATTCTTCTTAAGACTTTTCTGCCTTTTCCTACAAGGCCTCGTCTGATCTAGTGTGTTAGGCCACATGCTCTCCAGCTGCAGCACGTAGGCCTCTCCAGATTCCTCCCCAAACACTTCCCACTGTTTGCTGGAGAGCTTTTATCCTGATCATCTGCTGTCACTTCAGGTCTTAGCTGAAATGTTAGCTCTGTGACCAGTCTCTTCCACCATCCCAAATTATTTTCTTTGTGGTGGTGGTGATGGTAAGAAAGCCATAACATAGGCATAACCATTATAGCTACAAGTGTGTTAAAACATTCTAATGGTCGTGCAACTGAAGTTCTCTTACCACGACACTCTCTTAGCCCTCACATAGCACCATCTATAATGCTTCTGCTTTTTTTTCTTTCCTGCTAGATTGTAAGCCCCGTGAGACCAGTCTGTTTTCCTTGCTCTACCTGGTCAAAAGCCAAACAGAGGTAACAGGCACTCAGCACACAAATTTATTTGTGGAATGAATGGGTAGTCTGCTCTGTGTTGAGTACGTAGAGTGTGTTTGACACCACAGAGTGCCATCCCTCTGACAGCTGTGGATGCTGCTCAGGGAGGTGAGGGCTCTGGCCACCTGTGGTCATGAAGCAGGAGATAGGGCCTCCCTAGTGGCCTGGGGGTTAAGTCTCAGAGCTATCACCGCTGTGGCCTGAGTTCTGTCCTTGACCAGGGGCATGCGGGTGAAGATAAAAGCTGGAAGCCCCAGAACTCCCCGCATCAGGATCAGGACAGGGCCAGTCACAGCCTGTAGCAGTTCAGCCTGCAGAGGCTCAGCCTGTGTGGGCTGCCCCTTGGCCATTGTCCCATCTTCAGTACTCTGTTCTCCTCCCTCAGGACAGTCCGCTGAATGTGGGAGGCAGGGAGGGAGTGCTGGTTAGGCACACAGCTGGGCCTCAGAAAGGGCTCTTGGAGTTCTCCTGTCTGGCTTGGGTAGTGTCACCCTCGTGTAAATTGAAGGAGAGAGATGGGATAGGTCAGATCACAGGGCTGCGCTGAGCATCACCTGGGGCCGCTGTAGCCTTTGTAACGTCAGTACAGTACTGATTTATTGATCACTAGCTATGCAACTACTTTACAGTATTAGCATTTAATATTACACATCGAAAGGTCTAGGTTCTATTACTCTTGTGTTTTACTGAGGAGGAAACTGAATCATGTAGCGATAAAATAAATGTGCCCAGGGTCAGACATCTAAGAAGTCGCTGAGCCCAGGTTCTTGCTTTCTGGCTGTGCTTCATGCTGTACTAATTCTGCACCTGGGTAGCTGCAAAGCCCTGGCCCTACCCACCCATTCTAGAGGATTTACACCCCACACTTGGATCCCCCGGGCTTTTTACAGCATTTTTTTTTTTTTTTTTACAACCTTACACATCAAGGCTCTAAAGATTTATTTGTGGAGTCGTGTGTGTTTAAAGGGGAAAAGATTTGGAACACAGTTTGGTCTGGATTGGAAAGGAGAGCACTGAGGAGTGTGTCTATTCCAGCGGCCTCCAGGGAAGACATGGGGTCCTTGGGGAGGCAACAGCAATGAAAAGAGGAGATGGCAGAGGCCCTTACCCAGCCTGGGAATATTTAGCTCTAATCCTTATCACCCACACGTGATTTCCTTTCCACCTTTTAATATAAAGGTGGTGTCTTTATATTATGTGAGTTTTTTGCAGCTTTTTTTCTTTTGCTAGACATTTAGGTTCCTCCCAGTAGTGGCACTTTAGATCGCAGGACAGATTGGTCTGATAATACATCATCATAGTTTCTAGTGGCCATCTCAGGGTTGAGAAGGGAGTATGTTATTCAGTGTCCTTAATTTTTTATAATAAAAGATTAAAAAAAAATACTTGGAATACTCCTTGTTAAAAACTTCTTAGATGACACAGGAAGGTGCGAAGAGAGTACTAAAAGTTATCCCATTATCCCATTTTTCAGGCTATCACTAGTATTGAATATATTTCCTTCCATAGATATTTTTATTTAAAGATTGATTTATTTATGCATGCGTGCAAGAGCTGAGATAAAGGCCAGAGGTGTGGGGGCTGAGAGGATTCAGAGATGAAGTGGGGAGCAGAACAAGTGGACTGACTGAAATACCTTGTTGAGGGGAGCAGTGGGCGAGACAGGAAAGGTCAGCTCCCAGGCCAGGGGTCGAACTTCTGCTGCTTTGGCTGTGGATAGCTTCCTAGCACTGAGACATAACCCCTTGCACCACCAGGGACGACCCTTCCACACATTTTTCTACCTGTGTGGGGGAGTGGGAGTAAGAAGTTAACCTGTTCTTCAGTTGGTGAACATCTTCCCATTCAATAGATCTATGAAAATGTCATTTTTAATGATATCCCTATCATGCCTATAACGTGTTATCTACTCTGTCTGCTGTTGAGCACATGGGTTGTTTCAAGTTTGGTTGTTTTTTAATGTTAGGAAGATTACAGTAAAGATTTAGTCTTTGAGTGTATCCATTCTATTCTTGAGATACATTCTGAAAAATTCCCCTTACATTTTTTTTAAAGGGTTTTTGGTGCAGGTTGCTTAATTTATACAGGAAAATGATTGCCATTTGTGACTTGGAATATTTTGTCTGGGTTTTTCAGGACAGAAAGATGCCACCCAAACGCATAGCTAAGAAAAGGTCACCCCCAGAAGATGCCCTCCCCAAAAGCAAGAAGGTGAAGAGTAAGTTGGCCTTGGCCTTTATCCTGGGTATGGGTAAAGTGATTTCTAGGAGCCCCTAGAACTTGAGGCTGGGTTCCTTCCTCCTTGGCATTTAAGCTGAGGAGCCTAGAATGCCAGGGACTCCATCCTAACTGGAGGGTTTCCAGTATAGCTCATTGAATTCCCGCCCCCTGGGAATTTCAGAGGGGCAAAGACTTGTCTAAAGAAAGGCACTCAGACAGCACTAGCCCTTGGGCTTTGTCCCAGGCAGTAAAGTATTATGGTTAGGACCTTTGACTCCTAGGCCTGGGTTCCACTCCTGGCTTTGCCTCTTTCTGGCTGTTTGGCTTTGTGCAAGTCACTTACTCTCTGAGCTCGGACTACCTCATTAAATGGAGGTGAGAGCAGCACCAACCTTCCTGGGCTGTTGTGAGGATTGAATAAGATCGTGTCCTGGCCACATTTCAGGGAGGTGGCTGTGGTTCCCTCTCTCCTGGGACTCTGGAGGGGACAGGAAGGACAGTGATCCACCCTCGATTTGGAAGCATGGAGTGTGGATCCACACTCAGACAGTGTCTGTCTTTTGCAGACCCTCGTAACCAGGCAGTGAGGGCCGTTGCCTCCCGCCACGTTCCAGGCGCCAGCTCCTGCCAAGGTGCCTGCGGGCCTAGCCCTCCTCACCAGAAAACCCGACCAGGTGGCTCCCTGCCCAGCGCATCCTCTGCGCAGCTGCAGACGCCCTGACAGCAGTGCCACCACCCCTGGGGAGGGCTGGATGCAGCCACTGACTGCCCAGACCCCGGCAGCTGCCTTGGCCAGCAGATGCCCCTGTGCCACATACCCATTACTTCCGTGCCAGTTACAGCTCCTACTCCTGCCGCTGCTGTTCCAGTTGCCTGTCCCCAGAGGGGAGCGGAAGGGGACAATTCTCGTAATTGTGTCCAGAAGTGAAATCACAGTCTGAGGGTGAAAACCAGGGACTCTGCTCTGACCACGTATGCTTCCTCGGCTTCCGTGCAGGCTCTGCTGATAATTTGCTCTCTGAGACTCGATTTCCTATAAAACGAGATCCTAAATATGCACGGTCTGTAGCTTAATGTGGACGCTACAAAGCAGTTTAACATCAGTGAGCAGTCAGAAATGGTAGACACCATCTGAGCCTTCAGTGTTGACCAAGCTTCTGACAGATCTTCACGTTAATCAAGTTAATCAGGACTGTCTGGTCCTCACAATATTCCCCTCCCACTGGGAGTCACCTCACAATGCCGAGTGTCTCCTTCCTCCCATTTCCTCACGCACATTAATCATGTGCTCACTTTTAAATCTTCACAAAACCCTACAAGACGGGTGCTTTGGTTATCCTCATTCCACATATCAGGAAACTTAGGCTCCAGAAGGTCATACTAATGGTGTGTTGGAGAGTAGGGACTTGAGCCCACATCATGCGACCCCAGAGCCGATGCAGCGACTCTCCATCCTCCGTCATCCTACACACTCAGGCTGTGTCTTCTTCACCCCTCAGTCTCACATAGGTCCCACAACACAGAGCCAGGCTTGGTGCTGACACTGGGCCAGGGCGACGTGGGCCAGCTGGGGCTGGGAGAGAACGTGATGGAGAGGAAGAAGCCAGCCCTGGTGCCCATTCCAGAGGACGTTGTGCAGGCCGAGGCTGGGGGCATGCACACTGTGTGTCTAAGCAAAAGTGGCCAGGTAGGTTTGGGGGGCGGCACAGGGTTGGACAAGCCCTGGGTGGGGAGGGGGTTGGGTAGGAGCTTTGAGCCATGCACATTCCCTGTGGCGCTGGAGCCAGCTGAGCAGGGAGTGGCCTCCATGTGAACGGACTGAGAGGCAAGACCTTGCACTGCTGGGGTTCTCCTGGGCACAGGTCTATTCCTTCGGCTGCAATGACGACGGTGCCCTGGGAAGGGACACATCGGTGGAGGGCTCAGAGATGGTCCCTGGAAAAGTGGAGCTGCAAGAGAAGGTGATACAGGTGTCAGCAGGAGACAGTCACACAGCAGCCCTTACCGAGGACGGCCGTGTCTTCCTCTGGGGTTCCTTCCGGGTAAGACCGGATCTCCTTTCTTGTGGAAGTCTGCATGAGACCTAGCAGGCAGAATAACTGCCAGGGCCCCAGAGACAGCCCATCTCTGAGCCACCATAGTACTGTATCGAAATCAAGGCCCAGAGGCAGAGGTCAGGCCCAGATCTAGGTCGCTGGCTTCTTTATCCAGCCTGAACACAACATCTCTTTCCTCAAATCTGATATCAGGGTGTGTGTGTCTTGGGAAGGGGGTGAGCCAAGATGCCTTTGGGCTGAGGCCGATGCAGGAGACTTGTCCTCACCCATCTCCCTACCTTTAACATACCCCCCTTCCCACCTTCATCTATATGTTTTAGTGACAGGGAATGACGGGGGGAGGGGGGGGACTGTCACAGCTCAGTATATCCATGATGGAAACTGGTGGTGTAAAGAATTAAATCTCAGCATTATCAAGCTATTGGCAGCCACTGCAGCATGAGTTCCATCCCCTGCCAGGGAGGTGACCCACATGGCGCACCAGACCTCTCCTGTCTTGCCTGCTGCTCCCCTCAGCAGTGTATTTCAGTTAGTCTGCCTGTACTGCTCCCCACTCTGTCTCTGAATTTTCTCAGTCCCCCCCCAGTTCTTGTATGCATAAATAAGTAAAAATAAATCTTAAAAAAAAAAAAAACAGATTCAGCCTAGAAAGTTGTTTCAGTATTTTGGCATTTATTTTGTAATGTCAAAAATAAGGAAATCTGATTATCAGCTACTTTAAAATATTTTTAAATACATAAAAGTAATAATAACATTGAACCCCCATTTATTCAACCTGACAACCTGATCAACTTATAGCTAACTTGTTTTTGCCCTCCTGTTATTTTAGTGCAAATAAAAGACCATGTATGATTTTGTTCATAAGTATTTCAGTATGCAGCCTGGCTCCTGGCCATGTCTCCGAATGGCGCCCTTTTCCAGCCTTTGGCTGAGGTTCTCTGCCCCTCCCTTCCAGGACAATAACGGTATTATTGGGCTTTTGGAGCCCATGAAGAAGAGCCTGGTGCCCGTGCAGGTGCAGCTGAGTACGCCTGTGGTGAAAGTGGCCTCAGGTGAGAGTAGGGGTACTCTGGGCAGGAGTTAAGGGTACCTTGTTCTGGGGCCAGCCCAGCCTGGGCCGTCCCTACAAGCCCTGCATCCCCTGCCTTCCTCTCACCCTCAGGCAACGACCACTTGGTGATGCTGACAGCTGATGGCGACCTCTACACTTTGGGCTGCGGGGAGCAGGGCCAGCTGGGCCGTGTGCCTGCGTTATTTGCAAATCGCGGTGGCCGGCAGGGCCTTGGTAGGTGGCTTAGGTCCTTCTGCCAAGTGGTTGGCAGCCACCCCCATGTAAAAGTCAAAGAAAAGCAGGAGTGGTTGTCTGCATGTTCTGGCTCATGTCAGGTGGACCTGCGCGGGTTAACAGTTCAGACTCTAGAGCACGCTACTCTGGGGTTGCATCCTGGTTCTCCCTTCTACGGCTGTGGACATGGTTTCATCGTCTCCAAACCCATCTCCCTGGGTTGTTGGAAAGTTAATATAGAAGGAGTTAATAATAGAAGAATGTCTGACACCTGGGTAGTTCCATATAAGTATTACCTCTTATGGCTCTAGAATCTGAGTGAGGCACTTGCAGTTTCTTGGCATCAGTTTCCTCTCGTTTCCTGTTTAGCCTTCCTCTGAGGACTTTAATAGTGAAGGAAAAGCAAACTCAGGGCAGACAGAGGCCATGTGTGCTTGCTGCTGACTTTGGCCTCTTTTCTGCCTGCAGAACGACTCCTGGTCCCCAAATGTGTGATTCTGAAATCCAGGGGAAGTGGGGGTCATGTGAGATTCCAGGATGCCTTCTGTGGTGCCTACTTCACCTTTGCCATCTCTCGTGAAGGCCATGTCTATGGCTTTGGCCTCTCCAACTACCATCAGCTTGGTGAGTCTCGAGCCCAGCATCAGGCATAGCCCATATGACCTGGGTTCCAATCCTAGCTTTACCCCTCATTCATTTTTGCACCCTCAGTGGGTCCACCTAACTCCTCTGAGCCACAGATTGTTATGGTCAGTGAGACTATAAATACCCTAGCTGGGGTGGGGTTGCCTCACTGGGAGGGCATGAGGAAGGGGAGGTCCTGGGACATCTGCACCCCTGGCAGCTCTGTCTTGGTCTTTCCCTCCAGGGACCTCAAGCACGGAATCTTGCTTTGTACCCCAGAACCTGACGTCCTTCAAGAACTCCACCAAGTCTTGGGTAGGCTTCTCTGGAGGCCAGCACCATACTGTCTGCATGGATTCAGAAGGTAGGACCTCTAGGTCCTCCTCTGGGTTGGGGATGGAGTGTTCCTTGGCGCGGGCCTGGCTGGACTGGTGAGACCATGGCCCTTGGAACCTGGACCTGCTCCAAGGCTGGGCTTTGGTCAACCCAGGCCTCCTCCCAAACTGGGAAGACACTGTAGGGCTCCTTACCACAGGACATGGGAACACACTCCCAATTAGGGAGACTCTCCTGGCTTACTTGGAGTACACCCTCTGCATGTCCCCATCTCTCTCCCTCTTCCCACAGGAAAAGCATACAGCCTGGGCCGGGCTGAGTATGGGCGGCTGGGCCTTGGGGAGGGTGCTGAGGAGAAGAGCATACCAACCCTCATCTCCAGACTACCTGCTGTCTCCTCAGTGGCTTGTGGGGCCTCTGTGGGGTATGCTGTGACCAAAGATGGTGAGTGGGGCTGCCCACAGGCTTTCTAATGGGGTTGTGCTTCCTACCAGACTTCCTAATGGGCTCTGGTGTCATCAGATAGGCAGCACGACTTGAAATCTTTTTAAGATTTATTTTATTGATGCATACAAGAGCAGGGGTATAGACCAAGGTGTGTGTGTGTCGGGGGTGGGGAGTGGTGAGAGGATTCACCAGAAACAGAGTGGAAAGCAGAGCAGGAGCTACTGAAGTGCACTGCTGAGGGAGCAGCAGTGATACGGTGACACAACAGAGGTCTGCTGCACCCTGTGGGTCGGCTCCCTGGCCGGAGACCGAACTTATGCCGCAGTGGCTGCCAGTAGCTTCAGGGTGCTGAGTCTTAACCCCTTGCACCACCAGGGAGCTCCTGACTTGAACTCTTATCTCCAGACTCTAGTTTCTCTACTTTCTACCATGGTGACTCCTTTATTTATAATCTACTATGTGCCAGCTTCCCAGGAACTGTACTTAAAGTTTTTAGGAAAAAGAAGACTCAGTAGCCATGAGAAATCTGGACCTAGTGGATACACTTCATCTGGGGAGCTCTCCTGAGATAGTGGGGCTTGCACAAACCTTGAAGTTTTGGTCCTTTATAAGCAGAGACTTCCCAGGCACAGAAACATCCAGAGTAGTCCCAAAGGTGACTTGTATTAGCAGGGGAGGGTGGTGTAAGGGGCTGGGAAATGGCCAGTCACGCAGGGCTTTTCATGCCTTGCTTACGAGCAGCGAGAAGTATTTGGCAGTGTGTAAGGACTGAGGTTTCTGGTTGTATTGGGGATCCTAGAGGTAGCTGCTCCCATTTCTCTCCCTTGCAGGTCGTGTTTTTGCCTGGGGCATGGGCACCAACTATCAGCTGGGCACCGGGCAGGAAGAGGATGCCTGGAGCCCGGTGGAGATGACTGGCAAGCAACTGGAGAACCGAGTGGTCTTATCTGTGTCCAGTGGGGGGCAGCATACAGTCTTACTGGTCAAGGACAAGGAACAGAGCTGATGAAGCCTCTGAGGGCCTGCCCATCCTCCCTCCCAAAACAGGAAAGCCACGAGGACTACAGATTCCAGCAGGCCTTCCCAAGCCCTGAGTACTCTGTCATCTCCTGCCTTTTTCCCATCAGCAGAACAGAATCCTTTTCCTCTTTTTCTTCCTCCTTTCCGGAATCATCCTGGGGCCTGCAGGGTGAAAGGGGTCAGGGGCAACAACATAATTTAAGAGGGTAGGGGCTTTGCCTGAGGACCATTGCTCAGCTCAGAGCTGTGTGATTATCCCTCTCTCATCCACCACCCATGGTCCTGGCTGGCCCTGGTTTTGCCTACCAAAAAACCAAAACTTCCTCCCCTGGGGATTTGGTGCCTACACGGAGAAGTGGGGGCTCCATCCAGCTCAGTACTGTAGTCATGTGCCACTCTTCCTGTCCTTCACAGTCCCCAGACAAAGGGTAGTCATCAGTCAGACCCAGCTGTTGTGGGCCGATGCCTGAGGAACTGGAGAAGGGGCAAGGCTACTCAGCTGTGGCCACCCCAAGCCAAATACTTGGCCCTGAACAGGTGTGCATGGGCAAAACCAAAACAGTCCACTTACCAAGAAAGAAGCCGATCTGCCTTTCTCCCAGAAGCACAAAGCATTCTGCCTTGCAGGCGTTGCCTGCTTTTCCACCCTTGCAACCTGCTCAACTTCAAGGACCCCAGATCTGGAAAGAAAGCTTTGCCTGCAGGGCAGGACACAGGGAAGTGGAGGGATATGGAGGGCTTTATAAACAAATTTATAGCAATATTGAGCCTGAAAGGGGGGAGGACTGAGGGTGGGAGAGGCTGGTCCCCAGAAAGGGAAGTAGTAGCTTGTACAGTGGCTGAGGAAATAGAAAACAGTTTGATTTTCTTTTTTAATGTAAGAAGAAGGGAGGGGAGAGTGGAATCTTTTAACACTTTTAATAAATTTAGAGTTTTATAAAACAGGCCACTTGTTTTCTACACACTCCCTGCTTTTTTAAGGGAGCACCTGCTGTGTTGGGAAGGGCAGAATAAAGCCCTCCTGTGGACCTAGTCAAGGCTAGGGCAGTGATGTCGGGATGTCTCAGTTTGTGCCCATAAGCTGTTGGTAGTGACTGCTCCATGCAATCAAAGAGAAAGATTAGATTGATTTTCCCCCTAATTATTTATGTATCACAAATCACCGGGTTTTAAATTATGCTGCATAATATGAGTTACATGGAATGAATCTTAATACTCTAAGCCCAAACCAAGAGTGATCACAGAACCTCTCTAGAAATACTTATTCTAAGCTTGCTGTTGTATTATTGTCAACAGCTGATGTAATTGATTAAACACGATTAATTGCACAATAGCTCTCCAGACAACTTACACATATTAATGTAGGTTTCCTCACAGGCATTTGAACAGCAAAACCATTGAGCTGACCAATATGGTGCTCATGAGCTACATGTGACTTTTACAATAAATCAAAACATGTAAAATTTTGAGATTGACTTCTGCAGTTCATATAGGTCTATACAATTATAGAAATATATAGAACTGCAGAAAGTTATGCAATGCTGATAATAGACTGTATATGTGTAACAAAGTTTTATTAGCACCAGAAGGATTTTTTGGGTGTTGGTGATTTGAAGAAATTAATATAATGTAAAAAATTGAAATGTATTCTGTGATTTTTTTTCTAAACTTTTTTTTTCTTCAAGTACACATTGAAGTGTAACACATACAAGTGTTCATCTTAACTTTTTTTTTTACAAATGAACATACCATGTAACCATCATCCCAATCAAGAAATAAAAACATTACTCATAAGCAGACATTACTATCTTCAGAATTACCACTCTGATCAGTTTTTTTAGGATAATATGGTTTTTACTGGTTTCTTTGGTGTTGTGTTGGTGAGAATCTGCACTGTTGCATATAGCATTGCTTTACTGCTGCTGTAGGGAGACACCATAGCTTACATAATCTCCTAATGTAATTTGAATTGGTTTCAGGTTGGAGCTATTACAAATCTGCTGTGCACATTTTGATACATTAATTTTATGGTGACTGGGGTTGTGAGTTTATTCTAGGTATGTTTGCACAAATGAAACTGCTGGGTCACAGACAATGCTCATGCTTTTATTAGATACTGTGCCAAAGTACTTCTACATAAACCGTGAATGTACAAGATCTCTGGTTGATCCAGAATATCATCAACACTTGAGTTTGACTTTTTCATTTTAGCCAATCATGTAATTGTAGTTATATTTAAATAGCTCTTAATTGGCATTTCCCTAATATATATGAACTTTTAGTTTTGATGCAGTCACTATATTAATTAGAAATTGATTTTTTGGAAAAAATCATGTATTTGGTTTTAATGTTTTCTTTGTAAAGAAACTCATGTCTGCTCTCCTTCCCCCCAACAAAAATTAAAAATTCATTTGGATTAGATATTCTGGAGTGTCCCCTTTGATTATAATAGCATACTGAAAGTATTCTATACTTAATAACAGCTCTTAGGGACTTAAAATGGGCCAGTCATTGTTCTGAATATTTTACATGCAATAATAGCTTGTTTTATCCTCATGTCATCCCTCAAATTAGGGTTTGCTCTCCCTCAGGAAAACAGTTCTGGGAGTCAAGAAACTACCAACTATAAAGACAAAGGTGGAATCTAAATCAGCCTCCACCTGAGCCCAGAAACTCCTTTTCCATATATGCATGTAAGTTATGAAGCACATAATAAATGCTCTTTTAAATCTCTATCAGGAATATTGCACATTATTCCCTGTAGTTAATAATTACCTTATTTTTAATGTGCTTAGCTTTGTGGTGTCAGTACCAATTCAGTGTCAATATATGTGTCCTGCTGAAATGTGTGTGTTCAGTTGATTCAGTATTCTCAGTTTTCTTTCATCCTCCAACCTAGATTGGGTGCAACAAAACAAATGTAATTTTGTACACCATATAACTTAAGTGAGCTATTAATATTTATAAGGTAATGTAAATGCCCAATATTGCTTTGACAAAATTTATAATTACAAGATTAAATATGTATGTAAAAGGCAGTCACTAAAGTATCTAAAACTACAAATGAGAGATGTTATTGGAAATATGCACATAGTCTAGAGGAAAGATTAGGAAGTGACTGCCTCAAGCAAGAGGTTGAGAGTCTCTGGAGGTGTAAGGGAAAGCTGTTTATTATGTCATAAACTCACTAATTTTTTTTCAGTACCTGACATTCTAGACCTTGCATGAGTATGATGAGACTGATCAAGTCCGTTTCATGAAATTTACATTCTAAAAAGTAAATATTTAAAAACCTACCACATGTAAAATAAAGTTTAAGATAGTAACTAGCACAGCACTGGGACTGACTAGTGCTAGGTAAACAGCTGAGCTATCAGTTCTCTGCCACATTGGATGCCAGGCACAGGGCCAAGAGCTTTCCCAACTTGTTTTCTCACAACACCCTAGGAGGTGAGCACTGCTATTCTGCACATTACTCGCAGGTTAAAAAACTTACAGAATAGGCCCTCCCTGACTAAGCATAAATAAATAAATCTTTAAAAAAAAAAAAAAAGCTTGCAGAATAATTAGAGGGAGTTGGATTGGTTCAAATCTAGCCAAAGCAACTAAACAATACATCATTGCCGTGAGCTAAAATTAGAAAGTTGGCAACCCTTAATTTTTAATTATTTTTAAAGATTTATTTATGCATACAAAACTGGGGTACAGGCCAGAGGTGCCAGGGGTGAGAGGATTCAGTGGGGAGCAGACAGGTCAAGCGAGGTCTGCCACACCATGTGGGTCACCTCCCTGGCTGGGGATCACACTCATGCTGCAGTGGCTATGGTAGCTTCATAATGCTGTGCTTTAACCCACTGCGCCACCAAGGAGAGCCCATGCCTTAAGTTTTTAGACAAGTGCTTGATACAGTACTCCAAGTTCAGGCTATATAAACTGTAAGGAAGTGACCCACCATCCAGAAAGAGTCCTAGAAAGGGACTCACACCTGTTATAAGTTACCTTTGGGAGATGACAGCACCTAGAGAAGCTTCTAGGAAATGAGTACCAAAGTGAAGCTGAGGTTAGGACACCAACGTCTAGGTGCAAAGGAAATCTTAGATATTTCTGGGCTCTAGGCTAGCAGGTAAACAAGCATCAGGTCTGTTGATGAGAAAAATTTAAAGATACTTGGGGAAAATTCAGCATGACTGATAACGCCCCCAGGTGGATGCAGGTTAGGGGAAGAAAGGCAGTTTAGGATGTTTACCAAGGAAAAAAATTTTAAGTTCTGTGTAAAGTTAAATTTATACACGTCAAAAATAACTTCCACTCGGCCTTCACAAGTTTTGCTTTGAAATAAACCTTGCCAAAAACCTATTTTGGAGTGGCAGATCTTTTCTCTACACAACAACTAGAAAAATTAAATTGGTCTGTATTATCTAGTTTTCAAAGTCACATCGATGGGGCAGGTCAGCCTGGGACTGGATAGAGCTCCTGGAGGTTTGGATTAGGATAGTGGGTGTTGTGAAGCTCAAGAAAATTTGAGTTGAGGGGTGCTTCAGGTGGCAGGGTTGCCCTAATTTACACTCCTTTTAAACTTTCCCTTCTCTCACCCCCATATTATTCAGAGAAAGTAGGGGAATCCCATTCTAAGCTTCCACAAAACCTCATGCTTTGCCAACTGGGAAACAGCAAGTAAAAGGGTGTCTGGCTTGCCCAAGGCCACAGGTTAACACTGCAGGTGGGTCTAGACTCCCAAAGAGAACCATTTATTTTTTTAAACTTTAAATTTACACCTTTATACAATATTACTTTTTAAATTTTACATGCGTTATCTGTATGTATGTTTAAATACACATTTAGGGCCCTCCCTGGTGGCACGAGTTAAAGTGCAGCACTATGAAGCTCTCTGCAATCACTGCAGCAGTGCATCCTCGGCCCCAGAGCTGACCCATATGGCCAGCAGACCGCTCCTGACCCATATGGCCAGCAGACCACTCCTGACCCGTCCGCTGCTCCCCCAGCAGTGTATTTCAGTAGATCTGCCCGTTGTGCTCCCTACTTTGTCTCTGGTGAATCCTCTCACCCCCCTCCCACCTCTGGCCTGCACCCCAGTTCTAGTATGCATCAATAAATAAACACTATGTGAGTAAGGGAAAAACCGAGAAAGTCAGTCAGGCCAGTAACCGGGGGCCACAGCCTGCCGCTCTCGCCGACTCCCGCCCGGATTCCGCCCTCCGGGATCCGGAAGCTCTATCCGGGTCCCGGGAAAAACCGGAACGGAACACGGGGCGCGGCCCAGGCGCCGAGGTTCCGAGCATGCGCAGAAGCCGCGGAGGCGCATGCTCCCTGGCGGCCCGGCGGGCGGCTGGAGTCTGCCCGGCCCTCGCGCCCGCCGCGACCGGCCCGGCTGCGGGCATGGCGGCCAGCCTCTGGATGGGCGACGTGAGTGAGGGTGACGTCCGGGTCTGAGGTGGAACTGTGTCGCGAGGGAGGACGTGTCAGAGGGCAGGAGACCTTAGAACGCAGAGGGGTGTTTTTCGGGGGACACAGAGGTGGGAGTCCCCGCGTGTAGGTGAAAAGGTTGAATCTGAGGGGTCTGGGCCCCCATCTGGGTTCTTGAAGAGAAAGGGAGGTTCTCAGAGGGCACAGAACGGAGAGATCCCGAGGGTTGAAGGGCGCTCTGGTTGGAAGGCTGGCGGACTGGGGTTCCTAGCCCAGGATGGAGGCAGGCTTTGTGAGGAGAGCAAATGTGAAGGGAAGGAGGCAAAGGATGGGCTGGAGATGCGCAAGTTGGGGTTCAGATCACTGCAGATGGAACCCCCGTCCCTACCAGCTTCAGGTGACCATCTCGGGCCTGATTTCGAGGGGCTCTGGAACGCTGACCTGAGTCGCTCTGCCCTTTTATTTACGCAGTTGGAGCCCTACATGGATGAGAACTTCATCTCCAGAGCCTTTGCCACCATGGGGGAGACCGTGATGAGCGTCAAAATTATCCGAAACCGCCTCACTGGGTAAGTTATCTTCCATCTCCTCAGTTCTCCCTCAGTAGATCACCCTGTGATGTCTTTCAAGAGGAATGAACATGGCTGGGCCAAGCCTTCTCATCCCTGGTAATTGTTACCATGACATTACAGAAGTTAACTTTGGGGGCTCGTTGAGAGGAGATCTAGGTAATGTATATGGCCCACACCATGGAATCAGACTAGATCTGGAAGCTGTATCTGCTGTATGACTTTGGACAAGTGACAGTCTTCCCCTCTCATTTCACCTAGTCTATGAAAAAATGGAGATGGTGAAGACACACAGGTGATTTCGTGGTGGGAAGCCCACGGGGATTACAACTGAGATGGAAAAAGGCACCAAATGATGTAAAAATAAACTATTATAAAAAATTTAAACTAAAGGAAAAATGGAGATAATAAAAGCACCTACCTCATAGAGTTATGGTGAGGATTAAATGAGCCAATTCATCTTCCTTGTTTAGTGTCTGGCTTGTGTATTTGCTCAGTAAATGTAAACATCTGCTAGGTAAGCACTTAAAAGTCACTTTTCAATCACAGAAAGTCTGAGCTGAATGATGTTATTAAAGCAGCTTAATAACTATCTTAAGTTTATACAGCTATTAAATGACAAGCCAGGACTCGAATTCAGTTCTGTCCTCAGGGCTCATGTATACCCTTACCTCTTAATCATTCATGTGAAAATTATTTACACAGACACTGCTATGTGCTCCTGTTCTATATTGTTGGGACACATGACTGAAACAAGCCAGACGTGGTCCCTGGGCCCAGATAACAGGATTTCTTTATCTGTCTGACAGTGTTTGTTGGGCATCCACTCTGTGCCAGGTACTCTACCAATCCAGCTTGCTAGAACATCAAGTGGGTAAAAGTACGGATGACAGGAAGTGCATCCATCTCTGACTGTTGGGTGGACAGGTGCTTTGTGTATTCAGAACCCCAGTACTCAGGGAAGGATTTTCTGACTGCTAAATCTTCCTGTCTGAAATATTTTTCTTCTTACTTTTGTAGACAAAAAGTTACAGATAATCAGCTTTTTGTATGAAACATGCATTTTTGTAGTACTTTTCTACACTTTAAAATACTGACATAGGTTCTTACATTTTATTTTTATTTTTTGCACAGAAGAACTGGGATGTAGGCTAGAGATGCAGGAATGAGAGGCTTCACCAGAGACAGAGTGGGGAGCAGAACAGGCCAATCTGAGATACACTGCTGAGGGGAGCAGCAGGAGAGACGAGAGATCTGCTGTACCATGTGAGTTAGCTCCTTGGCTAGAGATCTAACTCAGATCACTGCAGTTGATAGCACTGAGATTTAACCCTTGTGCCACCAGGGAGGCCTCACATTTCAATCTTTTGAAATAAAATTTAGACTGTCTTTATCTGCCTACCCACAGTTACTAAACACTAGCTGTCTATGGTGGTCTTAACTATTGACATTTACATTGGCCTCATTTGAGAAAGACTTTGAAGTGGCTTGCAAGAGTACTGTAAAAAAGGAAGAAAGCTAATGTAAAATAAAAACGAAAGACTGAAGAAACTAAGAGAAAAAGTTTAAGATCAAGAGAAAAATAATATGCAGTAAGGCATAGTGCTCAGGGGTGCAATTAGTTAGGAGTTGCGCAACCATGTGAATATACTTAATCCTACAGAACTGTACACTTAAAAATTGTTAAAGTGATAAATTTTAGTTTAGGGATATTGAACCCCAACTTTTAAAATTCAGAAAAGAAAGAATGGAGTCAGATGTGCAATAATCAGATCTCTGTACCTCACTGATGGGATTGTAAATAATAGTATAAGCCCTGGGGGCAAGTGTGTGCATCAGCGTTGTGGTGGGGACACTAGGCCTTTTACCCAAAAGAAATGAAAACATCTGTCCACATACACACAAAGGGATTTGTAAACAAAAAAATGTAGCAACTCTCTGACAATGAGCAAAGACTGCAAGCAGCTCAAGTATCCATGAATAGGGAAAAAGATAAATGCTAGTGTTTTCATACAATAAAATACTTAGCCATAAAAAGCAACAGTCTTCTTGGATAGCAACAATATGAATGAGTCTCAAATGAAAGAAACCTTATTGTATGATTCCATTTATTTAAAAATCTAAAATAACTTCCATCTAGAAGGATTTATGTATTTCACATCTGTGAGCCTTAAGATTCTAGACATACAAGACAGAAAGCACAGAGTTGGCCCATCCCATCTTTTTTAATTTATTTATTTATGCATACATAACTAGGGTACATGCCAGAGGTGCAGGGGCGGTGAGAGGATTCACCAGAGACAGAGCAGAGAGAAGAACATGCTGACTGATGAAGTACACTGCTGAAGGGAGCAGCGGGTGGGTCAGGAGAGGTCTGTTGTGCTGTGCTTGAACCCACTGCGCCACTAGGTAGGGCCTTTTTTTTTTTTAACAATTTATTTATGCATACATTTAAGAACTGGGGTACAGGCCAGAGATGCGTGGACAGAGATGAGAGGATTCGCCAGGGACAGAGTGGAGAGCAGAACAGACAAATGGAGCAAAACACATTGCTGAGGGGAGCAGTGGGCAAGATAGGAGAGGTCTCTGAGCATGGCTGGTGACTTTTTTAAAGAGTTAACAATTGTCAGACATAAGATCTTATGTACTAGATGTTGGTCCTGCATTTTCTATTTATTTCCTTGTGGTAGTACTTTACTTGTTCTGTCCCTGGTATTTCCTGTAAACAGGGCTTTAAGAGCTAAAAGTTTGAATTGTATTAAACATTTTGGCAACCAACACCTCAGGTGGAAACTGTAAGTAAATAAATGTTTGCTAAATGGTTCTGGGGCTGATCCAATTGTGTCAATTACGTCTGAACTGGAATATGGCAGTAAACAAAACATCATGGACTCTCCATTAGAAGGAAAGGATCCTCCCTTCAGGATCTCATTTGGAAATAGAATCTTTAACCCATTCTTTCTGTCTGCTTTCTCTTCAGGATCCCAGCTGGTTACTGCTTTGTAGAATTTGCAGATTTGGCCACAGCCGAGAAGTGTTTGCATAAAATTAATGGGAAACCCCTTCCAGGAGCCACACCTGTAAGGACCCTTAGATAATCCTGTTGTTGCCGTTTTGTCATTGATAACCATCTTTTCTTTAATCCCTACTGTATATTGATGTTAATTAATTAATTCTGTAACAACCCAAAACAGTAGGCATTGTTATCTTTGACCAACCAGGAATCTGAAACTCAGGAAAGTGAAATAATTTGCCCCAAGGCAACAAAGTAGCAGATTGCAGAGCCAGGATACAAACTGAACATGGGTTGCCTCTAGAGTCCATGTCCTCTCCACTCTGCACGTTGCCTGGCCTAATGGAAGACTTGAAACTAGACCTCTTTTCTGATTGAAAACTAGAACAGGCTGGTAGCAGTGAGGACACATTTCAAGAGAGTTACATTCTGCTCTTCCCACAGTTACTTAGCTTACAGCTGCACCAAACTGGCACACCTGGGCTCATAGAACCATGGAGCTGGCAGTGCCCTTAGCGGTCATCCGTGCAACCCCCTCATTTTATACAGGAGAAAAGTCTGAGGCTTAGAGAGGGGGAGATGTTTTGGCCAAGGTAATTTATTTCAGTTTTTTTCAAATATTGTTTGACTCTTGAAACACCTTTCTCTGTTTTAGTTTCTTTGTTTTTAAATTTTCAGGCAAAACGCTTTAAACTGAACTATGCCACTTATGGAAAACAGCCAGATAACAGGTGAGTACAGAGCAGCCCTGGGGTGACTTCGTGCCCTGAGAAAATGTCTAGATAATGACCAGTGATGACACATCTTCTCTAACAAAGAGGAGGATGGGGAGCCTGTTTGACTCCCTTTGCTTCCCCTCCTTAAAAGACAACCCCTTTCTGCTTCCCCACTGATGGACCAGCCTGGAATCTTCTGTCTAAGCCCATTTTTTCTCTGTATTACCTTCTACTCTTTTACTCCCCACATCATCGAGGTTTTATTCAGTAGGAGTTGATCTGTTACTAAAACAAATTGAGCATTTTGGGTTGCTGTTTGAAAGCTTGAAAACCTGAAAAGTTTTAGAAGAATTTGTACCCATTGCTCCTATAACTCTGCTTCTTGGAGTTTATTCATAGATATGTGCAAAGATGGCTTCATTGAAGTATTACCTATAATGGGCAATATTGGGGGAAACCCAAATCATTAAGTAGTGGGAACTGCTTTAAATTACAATATGTTCATTAGTTGGCACGCTGTATCTGTTAAAGCATGCGTACCCATTAACCAGTCATGTAGTAGAGCATATGTCAAGATGTTGGTCATTTGGTGAAAGTAGGAAAAAAAGGCTAGAAACAAATGATCCTACCTAACCTTTATAAATTCAAAAGAAAAGCTACAGGAAATGACAAAAGTGTATGTCAGAGTCATTGGTAATTTTATTTTTCATACAAGAAATCATGTGAAATAATAACAATAAAAGTGGGTGGTTGGCCTGTGATCTGTATCACCTTGAACACACGCACAAGTATTTACAAGTTTGGGTTTTTTACATTTTTAATTGAAAAAGTACAAGACTCCCAAAAACCTAAAACACTGTCTGACCCGTGACAGGAAAAGTTTACGTGCCTGTTCTAAAAGTCGGGGTGTTCATTTTAGCTAGGTGTTAGGTCTTTAGGAGATAAGGTCTAGGTCTCATTCTCACTCTGTCTTTCGCCATCTGAATTAAAAATAGGTAGTAAATAGAGAATGTCTGGTTTTCTCTTTTGAGAACTGACTCTTCTGCACTTTGTAATACTTAAAGTCGGACAGGCTCTGTGCAGCGGGTGAAGGACTTGACAGTGGAAGACCACTTCTATACCCTCTGCCAGGACTGCCCGAGGAAACAAACCAGGACCTGCTGGAGAACCCAGCACATGTGCTTTTCTGTAAGGAGGTCCAGGAAGGGTTTACCCAGAGTGAACCAAAAGAGCTGTCAGAACAAAAGTTTTGGTCTTTGTCTCTGAATCTTGGTCTCTCCTCTCAGCCCTGAGTACTCCCTCTTTGTGGGGGACCTGACCCCAGATGTGGATGATGGCATGCTGTATGAATTCTTCGTCAAAGTCTACCCCTCCTGTCGGGGAGGCAAGGTGGTTTTGGACCAGACAGGCGTGTCTAAGTAAGGTCTTACCTGTTATTGACACCCACCCTCTCCGTTTCAGCATTTTCCTGTAGACGGAGCTAATAGAGAGGCCATGTGAGCATGCTGGTTAAGAACACAGGCTCTGACGCCAGATTGGCTAATTTGGATCCCAGCTGCAATACCAGCCAGGGAAGATGCAGTAGACAAGTTACTGAGCCTTTGATGCCATATTCTCATCTGTAAAACTGGACTGATTAATAGTACAAAGTAATCCCTGTTTATCCACAACTTCACTCTCTGTGCTTTCAGTTGCCTGTGGTCATTTGAGGTCCAAAAATATTATATAGTCTGTAATAAAATACTTTGAGATATCTTTTTTTTTTTTGAGATATATTAAAACAAGTTTTACTACAGTATGTTCTTGTTCTATTTTTATCATTAATTGCTGTAATCTCTTACAATGTCTAATTTATAAATATATCATGAATATGTTTGTATGGGAAAAAACATTTACAGTTGACCGTTGAACAGTACAGGTTTGAACTGCACTGGTCCACTTATATATGGATTTTTCTCTCTTTGGGTTCCAATTTCACAGATTAACCGACGTAGATGTTGGTTGGTTAAATCTGAGAAGTTGGAACCTGGGCATAGAGGGGGCCAGCTATAAGCTCACACGACTTTTCAGCTATTCGGGTTTGGTTGGCCCACGTGCTTAGGTTCAGCTTTTTAGGGGTTGGTACTGCCCGCAGTTTCAGGTACCAAATGGGGTCTTCAAATGTACACACCATTGGTAAGGGGATCTGCTGTTAGGGGTGTATTAAATGATGCAGTATAAACAGAGCAATAAGCAATGCTCTAAAATTTTTGTAATTCTGCTTATTGTCACTACAAACTTGGAAATAACCTCAAGTTTTGGTAATTATAATCTTGGGCTTTGGAAATCACCTGGACGTGAGTTCTTCTAGTATGACTTTGGACAAATACCAGTCCCTCTGAACTTTGATTCCATCACCAATAAAACATGGCCAACTTTTGTCAGATTCTTGCACAGATGGATGAGCTATCTCTGGGGATATGCTCAGCTCAGAGCCCAAAATTGTAAGTGCTCACTAACTGTCATTTTATATACCCCAACTAGAATATGAGTTCAGGAGAGCAGAACCTTGTATCTGTCTGCTAGCCTGCCTTGTGTGATAGCTGTCATACACAGTCTTGTAAATACTTGCTGAATGAACTTTTACCACTGTTACTACTACTGCTAATACTACTACTTTCCAGTAGAATGGAAGGGAAGCAACTGTTTGGGAAGGTGCCCCCTCAGTAAAAGGGTGGAGAATGGCGAGCTGGCTGTGGGAATCCCCAGTTTCGGGATCCTCCAGTGCTTGTCTCTCCAGTTGTTCTTCACGCAGCTCCACTAATGAGAGTTCCCATAACTAATCCGCCACTAATCCCTTCCCGTAGTCTGTTAGACTGTCTCCCTTCCCAGCCCTTTTCTGTTCCTGGACTTTACTTTCCTTGTATTTATTGTCTAATGTTGAGTTTCTTCTTCCTACAGGGGCTATGGCTTTGTGAAATTCACAGATGAACTGGAACAGAAGCGAGCCCTGACAGAGTGCCAGGGAGCAGTGGGATTGGGGTCTAAACCAGTGCGACTGAGCGTGGCAATCCCTAAAGCGTGAGTCATGCACTGGCTCTGGACTGACCCCCCACCAGGACACCCCACATCCAGTTGATAATCAGGGTATCCCATGCTGGATGGGCGGATAGAGGGACAGTCAGTCAAGTCACAGATAATGAACGCCTCTTAGTTTCCAGGTTGTATGCTGGTTAGAGATGTGTGAGTGTGACCCTGATCCTCCAGCAACATTCGTGGGGAGAGAGCTAAGATCAGGGTGAGAGGCTGACACATTCAGATGTTGCAGGTAGCAGTACTGGGTAGAACCACTGCTAGATATTTATATATGTAATTAGTAACAATGGAGAAGGGAAAAAAATTATATATTCCAATTTTAGCCCCGTTTATATCAGTGAAATCTACAAACCTCCTACAACAAGGAATGGCTAAGAATGAAAGATCCAAACAGTCAATAGACTATTACACATCACTCTGCTTGTCCTGCCAGGCAGGAAGCCCTTTTCCCCTCCTACCTCCAAACAATTTTCTCAGATAGAAAACATCTTTTGTTTTCTGTTTTTGTTTTGTTTTGTTTTTTAAGATTTATTTATGTATACTGAACTGGGGTATAGGCCATAGGTGCAGAGGCAGTGAAAGGATTCACCAGAGACATAGTGAGGAGCAAAACAGGCAGATTGACCAGAATACACTGTTGAGAGGAGCGGCGGGTAGGTCAGGAGAGGTCTGCTGCGCCATGTGGGTCACCCCACCCCCTAGCTGGGGATCGAACTCGTGCTGAAGTGGCTGCAGCTAGCTTTGTAGTGCTGCGTATCAACCTGTTGCACCACCAGGGAGGGCCCACATGGAAAACATCCTTACTCTGCATAGAATCTTCATCCTCTGACTGGTTAGTTCTCGGCTAGGAGCAGTTTTGCTCATAGCTTGTGGAGAAATCTTGGTGCTCCTGACTCAGGTGATGCTGTAGGCATCTAGTAAGCAGATGCCTCCCAATAAAGAACTATCTGCCTTCCCTCCTCCCTTCAAAGTCAGTGTCCAGGCCAAAAGTAGCTGTATTCTTTTGACAAAGTTTCCAGATGGCTGTATATTTTTTTAAGTTATTTCTGTTTATTGCATACAAGAACTGGAGTGCGGGCCACAGGTGTATTGGGGGATGGAGAGAGGATTCACTAGCAACAGAATGGGGAGCAAAACAGGTGGATCTACTGAAATCTTCTGCATTAGGGGAGCAACGTGTGAGACAGGAGAGGCCTCAGTTGGCTATATTTTTAAAAGAAGCAAAATAACTACAGGTTCTTTGCAGTTTAGTTATGTTTACTATATCAACCTACTGATCTTCCTCCAAAAATGCTTTTTGTCCTAAACTCCATATGTATAAAAACATTAAAGAAAAACTAAAAGAAATTTTCCTCTTACCCAAAAATGGCTACCATTTTTGAGTTCCACACATATCCATGAATGGGGGTTCTCCATGGTGGTGCAGTGAGTTGGAGCACAGCACTGTGGAGCTCTCCACAGCCACCACAGTGCAGGTTCAATCCCCAGCCAAAAAGGTGACCCACGTGGCACAACAGACTTCTTCTGACCCACCTGCTGCTCCCCTGAGCAGTGTATTTCGGTCTATCTGCCTGTTCTGCTCCCCACTCTATCTGGTGAATCCTCTTCCCCCCCCCCCAACACCTCTGGGCTGTACCCCATTTGGAATCAGAATAGGCAGTGTTGCTGAGGGGAGCAATGAGCAAGATAAAATAGGTCTGCCATGCCATGTGGGTCGCCTCCCCGACCCAGGGTTGAACTTGTGCTGCAGTGGCTGAGGATAGCTTCACAGTGCTTTTTTTCATTCCATTGCGCCACCAGGGAGGGCCCTGCACCCCAGCTCTTGCTTGCATAAATTAAAAAAAAAAAAATCTATGACCTGGAGATAGATGCCTTTTCTTTTTCACCCTGCCCTCGTTTTTAATTACAGTAACAATGCTTAGTTCTCCCCAGTTACTCAGTATACACACTTTTCCTTGTGGTTGTATGATCATCATCTTATTTTTTAACAGCTGCAGGATATTCTCTCGAGTATCTTGTCTATGTAGCCATTCTTTGTGTTGTTTTTGACATATTACCTAGTATTCGATCAGCAGCAACTGAGTCCTTACAGCTCCGTGGGCCTGTCCTGGACTTTAGAGTTGTAGTTGTAAAGGGGAGAAATAAAGTCCCTTCTGCAAGGACGTTGTATTTCGTCATCCTTACCTCTTCTTTCCTGTCAGCATTTGGGGGTTGGGGGTTTTGTTATTATCAGTACTTGGTGCCTGCCTCTGAGGAGGTGCCCTTCCACAATAGGAATCGAGGAAGATAGGGCTGCCCTTTTTTTTTTTTTAATGCATACAAGAACTGGGGTATATGCCAGAGGGATGGGGGTGAGAGGAATCACCAGAGTGGGGAGCAGAACAGGTGGATCCACTGAAATGAAGTTGAGGGGAACAGCGGTGAGATGGGAAAGATCTACACCATGTGGGTCAGCTCCCTGGCCAGGGATTGGACACAGACCACAGTGTCTGCTGATGGCTGAGACTTAACCCCTTGCACCACCTACAAGGCCCTCATCTTAGCAGTTTTTAATGAAAGTCATTCATACAATTACTTTATTCTTGCATCTCCTAAGTTTCCTGTTCCGTCCCTACTTAGTTGCACCCCAGGATCTCTTTGTGATCTTTGCCCAGTTTTAGTATAGTGATCCTCACCTTGCTGGAGTGAACTCCCCCATGAAAGACTCTGCCATTTGCCTTTGCCCATCTCTCGTTCAGTTTAGATGGTGCGTTTCTTCCTGTAAACCTGGATGCTTTGTCGTCATCGTTCCAGGTGGGCCTGGAGCTTCTGTCTTAGCTTTTTGGAAAGAGGGGAAGAGATGATCTTCCTGTGAATTTGGGAGGGTACATTGAAGTACCTTTTAGGTTTTTGCTCTGGTCTGAAGTCACAATGGGATTGAACTTCATTTCAGTAGCTGGATTATCAGTGGCAGCTGCAGAAGGAAGCAGAAGCTCCTAACTAAAGCATGGACTCTGGAACCAGCTAGCCTGGTATTGAATCTCTTACAAGTTGTGTGACTTGGACCCATTACATAACCCTTCTGTCCCTCTGTTTCTTCATCTGCATACTTATCACATAGGGCTGTTGTTAATGAGTTAAACTACATAAAGCATGTGGTACAATCACTACCCCTCCAGGAAGTGCTGTGGGAATGTTTGCTCATACTTGCTTGTTTATTTATGGTATTTTCTTCATCAAGGAGTCGTGTGAAGCCTATGGAATATAATCAAATGTACAGTTACAGCTACAACCAGTATTACCAACAGTATCAGAACTATTATGCCCAGTGGGGCTATGACCAGAACACAGGCAGCTACAGCTACAGCTACCCTCAATATGGCTATACGCAGAGCACCATGCAGGTAACCGTGATTTCACAAGTCTGACTCTTGTCATCCTCTGGAAACGTGGGTCATTCTCCAGGATGGGGTGGATGGGGTTGGGAGCTTGGGCTTCAAAAGAAAATGGCAAATATGAAGCAGCCTCGTTCCTCTTATCCTTGCCATGGGCCCAGAGTTCACCATCCTTCTCACTCTTCTCTGGTCTCTTGACAGACATACGAAGAAGTCGGAGATGACGCATTAGAAGGTAAGAAAGGAGTCCATTCACTCATTCTGTCATTTGTGTGATAGTGACAGAGTGACTGCTGTGCGGTTGGCACTGTACTTTGCTAGCTAGGTGCTGAAAGCATATGAGGTGAATTCTGCTCTAGAGGAACTTACCTTCCAGTGACAGAGGCATTGCCTACAGAACTGCAGCATGGTACATCACCTGGGCTTGAGGGCAGGTCTCAGCAAGCCCAGGGCAAGAGCCTGACAGGGCATGAGACACCCTCTGTGGAGTGAGTTGACATTCCCACCAGGATGGAGGCCTCTAGCAAGAATATATTGCCTGGTATTTGTTTGACAGCTTATAAAATTATTTTTTTTTATCCTGTGTTTTAATTTTTTCTATAGGTTAGATTATATGTATTTTTTACTTGCAGGTGGTAGTTATGATTGAAAATACAATGTATTATGAAAATCACCCATTGCAGTAGTAGCTATCATCATTTCTTAAGTTAAAAGTATTTATTATACTTGTTATTGAATAGAAATAAAATTGAAGAGATTGTTAACTTTTAGATAAATGTCTTTTTTTTTTTTTTTAAAGATTTGTTTTCATTTATGTATACAAGAGCTGGGGTGTAAGCCAGAGTGTGGGGAGCTGAACAGGCAAATCCACTGACATAACACTACTGAAGGGAGCAGCGAGCGGGCAGGTCAGGAGAGGTCTGCTGCACTATGTGGGTCACCTCCCTGGCTGGGGGGGTCGAACATGTGCTGTAGTAGCTGCAGATTACTTCACAGTGCTGAGACTTAACCATTTGTGCCACTAGGGTATCCTTGTCGTTTTTTTTCTTTTTGGGATTTCTATGTTTATAAATATAAGAACATATAGACCAGAGCTGGGGGGGTGGGGGTGAGAGGATTCACCGGACAGAGTGAAGAGCAGAATAGACAGATGAACTGAAACACTGCTGAGGGGAGCAGTGGACAAGCCAGGAGAGGTCTGCTGCGCCATGTGGGTCAGCTTCCTGACAGGCATCAAACTCATATTGCAGTGGCTGCAGATAGCTTCATAGTGCTATGCTTTAACCCCATTAACCCCAGGGAGGGCCCCATTTTTTTCTTTTTCAAGATCATCTTTGATTATCCTGAATTTCCATGTTTTACTGTCAGTCTCCCTGTTCATGGGGGAAAAGCAGCTGTGATTTTGATAGTGACTGCATTGATTCTGTGGATCAAAACAAGGTATCTCTAGTTTTTAAGTTTGTTTTTTAATACATGAGTGTATTTGTGTATAGTATTTCAAATGAACAGAAGACTAGAAGGAAAATTATATGTTTCAGTGATTTAAGAATTTTTAAACTTTGGCCCTCAGTGGCACTACAAAGCTGAGTTTGATCTCCAGCCAGGGAGCTGACCCACATGGCACATCAGACCTCTCCTGACCTGCCCACTGCATGCCTCACCAGTGTTTCAGTTGATTTGCCTGTTGAGTTACCCACTGTCTCTGGTGAATCCTCCTACCCTCTGCACCTCTAGCCTATACCCTAGTTCTTGTATGCATAAATAAATCTTTTTAAAAAAACAGGTTTTTTACATTCTTTTAGTAATTTACCATGACTTTTTTTTTAATTTACCATAAGTTCTAAAGAATGATTTTTGCAGTGAAGAAAGAACATTACAAATGTAGAACTTTGCCTCTCAGCCCTACCTCAGTTCATTAGATGTTCTTTTTTTAGTTTTTGAGATGGTGCTTCAGATTTAATTTTCCAAACTCAAATTTGAAAGATCAGGGAATGTGATGCTACATGTAGTAAGTAGCTTACCTTCATCCTCACTGGAGCTAATGCAGAGCTTGCTGTCAGCCCCTGTAAGGGACCGAAAACTGACAGGACAAGGAACTTGCCCTAGGAGACAGCAGTCCTGGCTCTGGGGAACTGAACCAGATCTCTTGGGCTGTTGAGTCTCCCCCTTAGCCTACCTCTGCTTCTCTTACAGACCCCACACCTCAACTGGACGTGACAGAAGCCAACAAGGAGTTCATGGAGCAGAGTGAGGAGCTGTATGATGCATTGATGGACTGTCACTGGCAACCCCTGGACACAGTGTCTTCAGAGATCCCAGCCATGATGTAGTCAAGATAAAGGCTAATACATAATGGACTATGCAAGAAATGAGATTCCTTTAAAAAATTCAAGACCAGACCTTTTTGAAATATTTTATACTATTATGACAACTGTTTTTAGTGTTTCTGCCATTTGAATTTGAAACAGGGTCCCCATCTGCCTTTCAACAGCCCAGCTGGGATGAGATCAGAAGTAAACCTGCAGTTGCTGTTGTCCCCAGACTGGCCACAGCAGCATAGCCAGCTGAGTGGCAAGGAAGAGTGGCTGATTCCAGATAAAAGGCACAAGGCCTGGCATCCTGTTCCATAGCTTAGCTTACATTTTTGATTTGAAAAAAAGACCCAAATTGCTTTAGAGACACAGTGTAAAGGGCATTACTATGCCTTCTGGGTGCCGTGCCCACTTGAGTGTCATCGAAATGGAACATATACCAAATGGTTGGCCTGAATTCTTAACAAAGGCCAGCATGTACAGTCATGTAATTTATCATGCTGTACAGTCATCAACCTTTTATTTAATCTGAATCCAATCCATTCAAGGACACACACACACACACATAGATTGGCTAAAATTACTTTGTCAGTTTAAAGATTTATTTTAGAACTAGGGTATAGGCCAGAGATGCGGGAGGTGAGGATTCAGAGAGAGAAAGTGAGGAGGAACAGACAGATCGACAAGTCTGCTGTGCCATGTGGGTCAGCTCCCTGGCTGGGTATCAAATTCATGCTGCAGTGGCTGTGGATAGCTTCATGGTGCTGCCATCAGAGAGGGCCTATTGACTTCTTGTATGTCAGGTACCAGCACTAACAAAAGGAGGCCTTGGCTTTCATTCAGTCTGCTCAGTTTTCTGAAAAGGAAGTTTAAGCCAGTGTGTTAGTACTTGTCACAATCAGTGTCTCCCCAGGCATCATACTAACAGCTGGTCTCAGTCCCATATCCGCATCTGTCATCCATGCATGTCCACTCAGATAGGTTTCATCCTGGACCAGTCTAGCATCTGGAGGAGCCAGGTGGATCTATTTGTCTCTATCCAATCCACAAGAGGTGGGAGGGTGGGGGCCAGAGGAGTGCTAATAGACTCTGCAGTATAAGCATAAAGTACTGAATTGTCAAATGCTCAGGGCTATATTCTATTGGCAACAGAATACTCTCTTGGCCCTTTTGGTGGGAAAATCTAACAAAGTCACAATGCAGCCATTTTTGTCTTTAGTAAACAAATATAGCACATGAGAAAGGCCAGATGTAATGTTCTGCTATGCAGTGACCACCATTAGCCCCAAGGACGCTGTGCTAAGTTTCATTCAGTCATCTAACTTACCAAACTCAAGATGCAGACAGCTTTACTGGTAACAGATCTAAAAAAATAAAAGGGGTAAACAGTGAATTGTGGCAAGAAAGCCATTGACAAACCCTTCCCAAATATAAAAATATTAGAAATAAGTAACTCAGAACATAAGACTCCCATTTCAGGGCGTGAGGCAAATTCAAAGAGTTCAATCTTGTCTGAAACTAATCCACACGCTACATGGCTGACTACAAGCCCTGTGAGACCAGCTTCAGTATTACTGTTCCTCCTCATACGACCACCAAGACCAGTGTACAGATCCGATGGGAAAGGGAACAGGAGGGTCAAACTATCTTTAGCAACTAAGTTACCTTATAAAGCAGATCCAACAAGATGGTAGCTTCAGATCCTTCAGTTTCAGATTATGCCACAAAACTCCAAGGTAATCTCAAAAAAAAAAGTATGAAAGCTCTAAGTAGATCCAATATTCCCATTTTCATTTAGTTGGTGCAAAGACCAGTACCAGCCGCAGTACTGAATTATAGGAAAGGCGAGTGGCAGCTGCAGGTATTGGCTGACCTGTGCTGTCAAAGTCTCTCCATGTTGCTCTGGCATGCAGTTGGAGATCCCATGGCCACCACCGGCCACAGCCCTTGGAAACATGCTGTCACCAACACCGCTCAGTCCCAAGTTACACACAGAACACCTACCAGCTGCTAGACTGTTGAGTCCGTGGTCCCTCGGTCATCAGAGTTCAGTCATGCCGACATCCTCACCTGGCACAGCTAAAATGAAACAGCTTTTGAGTGACCTTCCAGTGCCTTTATTTGTGCCCTCAGCATCAGAGGCGTGCAGATACCGATGCCCCTGGACTGTCCTACAGGAACCCAACCCACCCAGCGTGCCCGCGGCACTTCCAAGCTTATTCAGCTGCAGCAGCAGCACGTGTCTGCCAGCCTGAGGAAAGGTAAGCAGAACTGTCTTTTCCCGAAATGTTGCAGATCCGTTACAGCAAACAGAACGGCGACCGTCGAGGAAAACTGTTACTCTGGGCTCCTTTTTGACCACAGCGGCTATGTGGAAGCAGCTGCAGCTTCGATAAGGGCCCCAAGAGCGTCCCAACTGCTGTGCCGGCGCAGGCGCCTCCTGAACTATCTCCGAAACTAAGGAAGCCCGGCATCCTGGCGGCGGAAAGGCCCACCCCGACTGCCTGCTGTGGCCAAGCTGCGTCAGCGGCGGTGCACGGCGGCCGCGAGGCTGGATCAGAGCGACGCAGTGCGCCCGCGGAGAGCCGCGCCCCGCCAAGGTAACGTCGCGCCACGGGTCGCGCAGCCAGTGGCCAGACGCAGCCATCTGGCAAGGTCACACCGCAGGCAGGTCCCAGGGGCCTCAGTTCACCCACGCGGCCTCTCCCCAACCGCGCCGCTTCAGGCCCAGGTCGGCCA